TCGGGTTTAGATAACATCACTTTCATTGCGGAAGCTGTGTCGAAGACGTTAGTATCCTTGTGTCTCCATAGTTCTCCTGGAGTCGACAACATCCGACCAAAGGCCCTGAAGACGGTAGCAAGTGATCTAACAGAATCACTGGCTGTTTTCTATCAGAGATGTCTAGAAGAGAACCATATTCCACCAGTGTGGAAGCGGGGGGTCATCACTCCTCTCCATAAAGGAGGTAGCCGCACTGACCCTACCACTAACTGTCCAATAACACTACTTTCCGTACTATCCAAAGTGATGCAATCAATCACCGCAGATGCGCTGATGCAATATCTGGAAAGCCACAACTTAATAGCCCCAAAGCAACATGGCTTTCGTCAAAACCATTCGTGTATTACTAATCTATTAATTACACGTAATAGCTAGACTGAAGCTGTTGATGATGGAGTAGGATCCGATGCCATATACCTGGATGTCACAAAAGCGTTTGATCGCTTAGACCATCGAATTCTCCTTCAGAAGTTTCGAAACTACGAAATTGGCGACCCTATCCTGAGTTGGGTTAGCGCTTTTCTACACGAAGGACGGCTGGTGGTGAGAGTCCGAGAATCATTTTCAGATGCAATTGATGTGGCTTGTGGAGTAGCAGAAGGCTCGGTTCTTAGACCTCGTTTATTCTTGATGTTCATTAACGCTTTGGCAAGATCAATTGATTTAGATTTCCTATTTTTCGCGGTTGATCTCAATATATGGCGAAGAATCAGAGGACCGGACGACTGCCAGCTACTCCAGTGCTATCTAAACACGGTGTCGAACTGGTAAGTTCAAAACGCCTTACCATTCAACGTAGACAAAGGTCGCGTTGCACGTTTACGCCATAGACACAAATACACCTATTTGTCTGGACAAACGGATTGCAGATCAGCTCCCAGGAACGTGATCTTGGTGTGATCGTACAGAGCGACCTCAACTGTTCAAAACAGGCTGAGGTAGCTACGAAAAGGGGCAAGCAGCACGTCGGCATGGTGCGATGGGCATTCGGGAGACTTGACCCATCAATCTTCCCAATGATGCATAATTCCTACGTGCGCCCGCATATTGAATACGCTATCCAAGCTTGGCAACCTTGGTTGAAGCGCGACCTAGAAGCGTTAGAGGCACCACAACGAAGAGCAACAGAGAATGTAAAGGGCCTGCGCTATCACTCTTACCACCGAAGGCTGAAGTTGCTGGGAATTTTCAGCGGACGCTAGCAAAGACTGCGCGGCGATCTCATATTATCGTATCAGATATTGACTGACCCTAACCACGTCTGCCGCCACTTGCTGAAACTCAGCAACAACACGCAGCTCAGGGGTAACTGCTTAAACTTGAAGCAACAATATAGCCGCCTAGAGCGTCGACGGAGTTTTCTTTTCCATTCAGTTTTACCAACCCTGGAACGCACTCCCAGACTCACTTGTATCCTCTCCTACCTTGGACGTTTTCAAAAAACGATTAGATGTTGCTGTTAGCTCCCAGCATTTTGTTACCTATACTCCTCTATTGTAGATTAGGCTAAGCATACTTTTCTACAGGATTTATGTATCAAATGGACCCAAGTGAGCACCCATATTCTACATTTCTCATCCTTACATCAACGATCACTGCACCCTGGTGTCTTTCTGAACGTTTACGGTCGATTTCTTTTTACTTTTACACTGATGTCATTTATCAAAGTATTCATCTCGGCATACGTTCGGTAGATGACCCATATATATTTTGATTTCATCATATTCACCCCAACCATCCTACGGGACGTGTCAAGCACTTGCTTTTATCCCATGATAAATCATTGTTCATTGTTCATTCTTCTACCTAATACACATTGGGTTCTTCTTCGCTATATGTCGGTAGATCTGGCACGCCATGAACGAAAATAATTCTTTTGCTACTCTCCGTGTGGTGGTCGTTTGAATAACTTTGTGCCGCTTGCGTTCGCACCATGGAACATCCGGAAATATTCGTATCCCACTGTTTTCAATCCGTGGACGGTATGCACCATCTCGATAGGATCTGTGAATCCCAATGTTACTCGCATTAGCCGAGAGTTATCATATTGAATCGACCTTGGATGTCTAGTGATTCGCATTATAGTAGTCGTATTGACTTGCATTCCGATTATATCATAAAGGCCATTCCATTGCTTTAACGCATCCAGCCGTTTACTACTTTAGGGGTCTTGGACTCAAGAAAATTGGTATATCTAAGTGTCAAGGCCCCGTAGTTCCGCAAGGTATTCGGTGATGTGGGAAGCACAGTTATTGAGGGATTTCGTGATGTCTGTGCGGTCCTTGACCCGTTTTATGTCTATACTGTGAGAGGCTGCTGGGGTCATACTTTGATTATACCGAGCAGCAATGGTTGAGTAGATGGATCGGTCTTTAGAACGCTTCGGATTTCGTAGGTCAGTCGGAAATGTGCGTGTTACCTATGTTGCATCAGTCGCAAGGTTGGATAAGAGGATGTGGGCGGTGAAGCAATGCATGCTTCTATCGGTCGCGATAAGAATATGGGTCGCCGTTCCCAATTTTTTTAGTACAGTGTGAACATGTGAAAGCCTGGTTGTTTTCCTTGGTTTCGAAGCAACAATTGGAGAAGACGGATAAAGTTCAAGTTAGGCTATTGTCGCTTCGAGTGAAGCAATTTTTGCTTTTTAAACGATGTTCAGTTTCAACGACTAGATTTTCTTTATGCTGGTACGCATTTTACTAATGGAACCGTTGCGCCCTTCGTACAGAACCAAAGCGAACTCGGCGGATTGTACTTCATTATGTCGGTTCTACAGACCTTGAGGCACTTCTAATGGTACCGAGCGGTGCAATTTATACTAGCCAACCCTACCTTTATTATCTCATCAGAAGTTCGATTAGCACCAAATACTTCGTTTGTGTTCCCGGTGTGGTGGTCATTAAGACCGATTACTATAAAACAAATCCAAAATGGCGGACACATACTGCAGTTGGACCAATCAATGAATATCAGAAAGTAGTCAGCGAATTTTCACCGAATTTGCACAGATTGAGAAATACACTAAAAGTAAAATATTAGTGCACGATTCACAGTAATCCGGAAGCAAAAGTAAAATCCAGGGTGCTTTCGCGCCGCGCCAGATTGGTGAAGTTTAACATAGGCGCTGAAACAACAATCCAGGTAGATAAATGTTTAAACGACTTGTAGGCTTTTCCCACCAAGAATCAGCGCAGGACGCGGCTTTTACCAGTCTTAGCGCAATGTTTTGCACCTACAACGGCTGACAGATTGTGACAGTCCGTTCAGTGTGGCGTGGTACATTTGTGAGGACAATCTAGTTAACATACTCCACGTTAAACGATCCTTCACCTGAGAGAAGCTCCATGTCTTCTAATCCATATAGCAGAGTCCCTCGTACCGTAACATTATAGACCCGTCCCTTTGGAGCCAGGATGTGATCACGGCGAGGACACAGGTTACGAAGGTTATCGGAAGCAACCCGATTCTTGAGGACATGCAGGGAGATCTCCACCGTCAACTGCCAAGGTAAATGAATTTGTCGACCACTTCCAGTGGATGCCCCCAATAGGTTAAGAGGAGGACATGCACTTCGCCATTCATGTAGGAGGACCTTACATTTAAAGGAGCAAAGCTCAACCCAAATTGGTAGGCGGACAGCTCCAGACTAAGCAGCACATGCTGGGTGTGATGGGGCTGGAAGTGCTGGTGATTGGAAACGCCATGATGCCGATCGAACGTCACAGGCCAGACCCATAAGGAGTGAGCATGTTGCCGGAAACAGATTGGTCAGCTAATCAGGAAATAGTTGGCCCATAATCGCGACCACCATGCAACTATCCACTGAATATACAAGTGACAAATCAGGCGCCAGCAGACGAAGGAGCGCATACTCATGCACCCTTGAGTCAAGGCTTGTGGCATAGGACCGAGGGAAGAAGCTCGCGGTCCCAATCCCGCCAATCGTGCATCGACTAAGAAAGCGAAGGTGATTCAGACAGAGTGAACGTGGCGAGCGAGCATAAACCAATGGAAGGGAGCCAGCGACACAATGCAAATAACAGGGATGAGCATTGAGACGGACTGTTGTAAATAGTGCATATACTCTAAATATTCGAGCGTTATCTTAATAAATGACTTCGTGATCGCGGCCCAGTCTTTTTGTTTCCCGGAGGGCTACACGACGATGGTAGCAAAACAAAACCAGTTAGTTTGCCACGATATTCCGTCACCATTGGATTGGTCATTGTCACAAAACTCGGACCATCGGTGAACATCTTTTATTCGACAAAACAATCCGTGCGAAACATCAGTCTAAGTAGCATTTTGTAGTCTCGTTGTATGTGACTAGGTCGTTTCCACGACTAATGACCCTACTGCCTTTATGAGATTCTTCCTTTGAATACGTAAAACAAAATCAAGCTCACGCAGCCAAATGTTAACCAAACATCGTAATGGCGGAGATGAATAGATTTCCAATCATCTGTTCCGTTCGTTTCTGTAGTGAAGCTGTTTACCTCGTCAAGTACATCCGTCTCGTCCCCCAGGATACTCCCACCATAGTCATGCCTTCACATCCGCAGCACCGGAACCCTAGTCACCCTAGGGTTTCGAGGCTGGAAGTGACTCTTAATAGACTGCCTGATCCAACCAGCTGTCGTGCATCGGTCATCTCAGTCGTCTGTGGGAACGTGAGATCGATCACTCGGAGAAAAGTTAGTGAGACGCAATGGCGGTTGCACCATACCTAACATTGTCACTATGCGTTTTGACACAGTGTTAGCCACAAGTTAACTGCTTATCGGCAGTTGTCATCAGATTTCAGTACACAAACAAAGTACGATTTAATCTTGGTGTAGTAAACTTAGTCAGGTCACACCTGCATGTCAAATGTAGGGAAAATTCCGTGTCTATTTCGAATAATAAGTGATTTGATGCAAATCAGTCACCGAAATCATGATGCGTTGTTGCCTTTTCAGACCAACCACTGTGACTTCCCTCTTGCAGCCTACATTAAGCTGACGAACGCAAGTGCACGGAAGTTTCAATGTCACACCAGCTCTGACGAGACGGAATTGGCTGTGTTCACTCCGGCTCACCATCAACACGGATATCCACGATATTACCTGTTGCTGGTATATGTGAGTAATCCACACATGCACACACACAAGGAGTTACTGGGACAAACACTGATTGACGCTTGTGAAATTACTCGTACCAGTTGTTATCCAAACATGCCGCAAAATTGTATGTCTTTTTACCCAGCGGTGTTGCCCAAAATGGATCCCCTTGAATCGACGGCCAATTATCGATTGATCCACTCCAATAAGTCCTCACGATCCAATTGTTATGTGATCTGAATCCACAGAGAATCACACTCATGTCGCGGACAAGCGCGAGTGTCTCTCATGCATTCCTTATCCGGTGATGATGGCCCTAGAAAGCTGGACCAAATTGTGTACACACATTTCGGTCGCCTCCAGTCATCCCAATTGCATTTAAATGTCTTTCCATCCTTTTTTTGCATTCACACACATTGTTTGACTTTTCGCCTCATCAAAATACAACCACTGGAATTCAACACACATTGCCATTTTCCATTCCTACACAAAGAAACTGATTACCCGATCCAATGCACAGAGAATCAAAGTGCACAATGACAGAGGGTAGCATATTTTTTTGACCCTGGTTCGAAGGATGCAGCAACGTCAACACCACTTAAAATAGCTTGACAGATAACACACGACTTCCCGATAACATATTTTTTCTATCCAAGCGCCGGGTTGAATGACAGCAGACCTATCCATACATCCCTACCTGTGATGTTCTTATGTAGTCGTCCGAGATATAGCATCCATTCTGTTCATTTGTCAACATTAGACTGACTGGATTTGTCTGTTTGTCATTTAACACATTAACTCATTTCGCAGTTTCGTGAACTCTATGAAACATGTTTGTTACCTTTTTCTGGAATCGACCTTTTACTCGTACCACCTTAAATACTAGCGTATTTGTGGACGTGAGGCCGGTGCATTGGCGTCAAAACTGCCAGAAACAAGAGTTATATATTAATAAAGGCAAACTATTTATTAATTAAGTGTGGTCCATCGCAGCCAGTTTCCAAATCACATAGTCTTCCACATGTCCGAGAAGCACTAGACTGCAGTTGCAGCCTATTTGGCATCGTCAATAGTGCGCATCCATCGGATCCGTCAGGATTCGAACCCATGACCACCAGCGGATTGAACCGCCAGTCAGCAGCTTATGCCACTGGGCCACGGGGGCCAACTTCGGGGCGACATGATTTACAAGCTAACTGCGATATAGCGCGTCTTATCCTCCACTGCCACGCAGGTTATGAACGCTGCCGCGGACAGGGTTGGCCCCGAAAGACACGACGTCCACTAACAGTAGCTATGTACGACATAGCATTTAAGACGCGCTATATCGCAGTTAGCTTGTAAATCACGACGGTCCGAAGCTGTCCCCCGTGGCCCAGTGGCATAAGCTGCTGACTGGCGGTTCAATCCGTTGGTGGTCATGGGTTCGAATCCTGATGGATCCGATGGATGCGCACTACTGATGATGCCCAACAGGCTGAAACTGCAGTCTAGTGCTTTTCCGGGCATGTGGACGACTATGTGATTTGGAAACTGACTGCGAAGAACCTCACTTAATTACATCAAAAAAATCCCCTACTCATGAGTACATCGAAATATACCTGCCCTGACAGTTTCTAAATGCTATGTCGTACATAGCTACTGTTAGTGGACGTCGTGTCTTTCGGGGCCAACCCTGTCCTCTGCAACGTTCGTAACTTGCATGGCAGTGGAGGATAAGACGCGCTATATCGCAGTTAGCTTGTAAATCACGACGGTCCGAAGCTGTCCCCCGTGGCCCAGTGGCGTAAGCTGCTGACTGGCGGTTCAATCCGTTGGTGGTCATGGGTTCGAATCCTGATGGATCCGATGGATGCGCACTACTGTTGATGCCCAACAGGCTGAAACTGCAGTCTAGTGCTTTTCCGGGCATGTGGACGACTATGTGATTTGGAAACTGACTGCGAAGAACCTCACTTAAATTTAAACTCCTTACAGGCACACAGGACGTTAATGAGGTGGAAAGATGCATCACGAAACACCTAAAGTTGTTCCTCTTACTCCGTGTGATTGATGATTGGACATATAACGACCTAAAACCGGGAGGGTCCAATATACCTCAGCTATCCGTGTTGCCGAAGACCCATACATGTGGTACACCGCTTAGACCAATCTCGCCAATGCCAAACTCGGCACAACTTAAGTTGCCTCATTGACTGGTGGAAGTACTTGCGCCGTTAAAACGGCAGACTATCCCACACCGTCTGAAGGACTGTCTTGTGCTTACAAAGGCTTTAGATAAATTTAACCTATGCGATAATGTTACGGCCACATTGGATGTACAATCGCTTTTCACCAATGATCCGCTACATGAAACAGTTGATTACGTGTGTGAAATGGCAGAGTGCTCCGATCGAATTCTTCCAATGTCAGTCGAATTATTAAAGGACAGCTTCCTACTATGCACTGTGAACATCGGTTTCCAATTCCAAAACATTCCTTATTGCCAGATAGATGGGGTGGCAATGGGTAGTCCGTTGGGCCTAGTGCTAGCAAAATTGCTTATGTCGATGATTGAAACGAAGTTGTGTATAGAAATATCGCTTCTTTCCTACTATAAACGGTATGTGGATGATATATTAGAGGTTAGCGCATCAGAGAAGCATATCGCGCTTCTGTCGATCGCCTGAATAACGTGTATAGGAATCTGAAAGTAACCTGCGAAACGGAGAAAAGCAACTGCCTCCCATATATGGACATCTTGTTTTGCCGAAGAACAGGTGGGTCCATCAGAATAGAGGTTTACCGAAAGACGATTGGTAGGGCAATACCTGCACTTCGCCAGCTTCTTTCCAAAGAGGTACAAGCGGACATTCGTCAAGACACTATACAACCGTACAAGAAAAATATGCATTACCAATACTTTAGATGATGAAATAAACTCGCTCAAGGATAGTCTGTTAAAATAATGGGCTATCCAAGAAGATTCATCGACAAACATAGTCAGGCGAGGGTGCCGGGACGGAAGGATTTGACAGTGTCTAAAAGCAGGTCTACACCAAGTTACCATTTAAGGGTGATTTTGCCAATATGAGGACAACGAAGCGCATAAATTCCGCAGTCCAGAGGACTTATTATGCTGCTGGAACTGTTCTTATCAACCGGGCTAATCGAATACCTGTTGCCCCAATAACGAAAAGACAACCTATTAGCGCCAACTCACATTGTATTTACCAATTTACTTGTAGTTGTAGTATACACCAAATCGGCCGTACCAATAGATCGTTGAACTACTGAATAAGGGAACATGTACCTAAATGGTTACAGCACCAAATCACCCAGTCTTCGGTGGCTCAACCCACCTGTTCACGTAAGCCAGCTGCTTCATCCCTAGGTGGGCACTTACTGCCCACCTGTCATCAGTTTGACTCGGCCAAAAGTTTACAATCGTGTTCAGACATGCTAACGCCCTTTTCCTACATTTCGCACAGGCGGTCGCGATCAGATGTATCAAATCCACACTCTGTGTGCAGCAACAGTTGTTCCTAAGCCTACGGCTGCCCTAGGCCTAGTGGTGTCATGTCTGCCCCCTACCCTATTCTTACTTGTTCCGGTCTCATCTTATATATGTTCATGTTATTGTGTTGGCACTGAAGAGACAATACGAAGTTGACATCTGCCAGTGTTCGTCTTCTTACAGCCTTATTCAAATTTTCGTAGAAAGTAGAAGTCACACAATAATCTGCCTCGACGGGGAATCGAACCCCAGTCCCACGAACTACCGGTTCACTGCTCCACCACTGACCTACCGAGAGATGACGATCAGGTGCGCAACTTAATACATGACTTCTGCTGGGTGCGCGACGTATTGACAAAGAGCTCACAGTATATGTCCTGGTGTTGCAGAATGGCTTACTCCCTCGTCACTTTCCAATGGAACGAAGTATCTGCCCTTCTGATGTCCAAAGGGCGATGGTAGATTACTTGTGGATTTTTTGTGAGTAGTGTAATGTATCTAGAAAGTAGGAGTCACGATTAAACTGCACACAATAATCTGCCTCGACGGGGAATCGAACCCCACAGCACGCATCTTCGTCGAACCAGCTGACCAGTCTTTGTCGAACCAGTATGGCTTCACTGGCTCAGCTTTCCGACACTTGAGGGGCACAAAACTCTTTGTTATAGTAGACCAACGGGCTTCAACAGATGAATTCTTTGACACTAACCAGTGCATTTGACTAGCGTTTTGAATTAGACCATCGAACTCAGCCTTGCAATAGCTGCGGGATAGCAGTGACGGACGCGAGTGTAGCTACAATAGCACAAAGTTGATCATGCTCATCGATTGATCACTGGCTGCTAAAGACACCATAACCAGAACATCACGTACATGCCGATTGCAGCTAGTCAGCATCAGGTCCAGACACGATGGATTTGAGTGCGGTGTAATGTGTTTGCCTAGCTAATGTGCTGTGCTATACTATTCTCAAATATCACCTCAGCAAACTCTGCTACGCATTCACACTGTCAGGGAAGACGTTGAAACTCAGGGCAGCACATTCGAGGAACTTAAACTCACACTCGAACAGGAGGCGGGGATGAGACAACCAAACCAAACAACGACTTCGTGGCGTGCGGTAGGTTGCACCCACTGCGGTCGTTTGCTTGTCTGTCGCACAAGAAGCATACTTATGGAGTTGTCTCTGGATTCGACCGAATCTCAGAGAGGCCTAGTGCATCCGACTGAGGAAAGTCCATGCAGTGTCATACTTAGTCACCGTAAACATTGGCCAGGGCTACACACAAGCCGCGGTACGAGCCACCTGCCACGAAGGAAGCTTCACCGATCGATTGATCCGGATTGGTCTAACACGGAGAACTACCCGAAAACGGTTAACGTTGAGCTTAAATGAGAAGACGAAGTTCGGCAGATTCATGCATTGCCTATTCTTCTATCAGCGTAGATATCCATAACTGGATAGCAGACGGAATCGTTTGAGGGTGCAAAACAGACAGAGAAACAAGAGGAAAACGGATGTGTTGAATCTGCATCCATGGCATTTTGAGCTTGAGCGATAATTGCTTTGAACGCAATGTATCATTTTAATCCGGTTTAGCTCAACCACCTTGACGAATTGGAGGAGCCGGGACTTCGTATGTCGCAGCAGAATACTGAGCGCTGTGTTGACCTCAAGCCGAGGAACCTAAGTCAACAAATATCTGTCAACCGAAGATGCCGGCGGTTTTGGGAACACGTTTGTCTTGAGCCCTATTACTGCGCAGTCTTGCATTGAGCCCATTTCGGCACATGCTCCTTCATCCGGAAAATGAAGATCCAATGGGTTCTGATTAAGTAACTTGCTCTGCAGACGCATAGTAGAATGCAGTGTTTTCGGGTGCGCGACATCCAACTTTTTTCATAAGCTTCAGATACTGTTTTATTGCTAGGGTTATCAAGGTTCACTTTAATGCGAATCACCATCCATAATGAGATTGTGCATCCCGATCCAATCATAGAGCGAACACCTTAAAAGGACCCTTCAATCAGACTTTAACCTTTGTGCCAAGTATTATTTGTCAGGACCCGGTGGTTAAACGGGTAGAGATTCCAACTAATATCTCTGCCTGGTGACTCAAGCGCGTCCTTGTCCCACCTAGACACGTGTACTTCTGACAACGTATCCATTCTTTAGGTAATCTGTATCACAAGACGATTAGGTAGCATTTTTCGTGCTTGACGTCTTCAGTGAATATCCTTGATCATTAGGCGCAAGCACTGTC